GCAGAAACAAGGATTACACACTACGTGCAAGTGATCAAGATCGGATTATGGATATCGATGCTAGTCTTGTGCGAAGGAAAATAAACATCCACCTTATTAGGATGTGAAATACTCAAACAAAATCTACGCTGACAGCAAATCCGAGCACAGTCGGGGTGCCGGGGGCATTTCCTTCTCCTCTCTTGCGTTTTGTAAAACAGGTGAAAAACCAATGTTACCGTGGGTGTCGCGCAATGTGCATGCATGTCCCATCTGTGTTTGTTTGCTCCAGGGCTCACGTACAAATCAGGTCATAGGAAAAAGTGACTTTTATGCAACATGCAGACTCCAGACCCCTGTTTTATTGCAGTACTGTAGTCACAACAAATGCAACTTGGGGATTTGGTGTAATCTTACAAAACCCTTCACCACCACGACCCTCGCTTTCCTTGTTGGAAAACAGCTTCTAAATAACTTAATTAACACACACACACAGACTCAACGTGTGTCGTCTGTACATTTAGTGTGCTGTTAGCTTTTTCTTGTCCAATAACCTTGTAGACAACGACCGGAGACAGTTTTTGAACAGACGGTGAAACCAGCTTTTGTGCACAGTCGTTTTTAAAATAAAGTTTGTGTCCATGAGAGATCTTTACCTGAATTTTAATGATAGAATAAGATGCAACAATATTGCACAAGATGATACGTGATGTTGTGATTACTGTAATTTGCTTCACTCCCGGGATGGAAACTTAATCCAGCTTCCTTTTGTCTTTAATGTTGGATCAAACTTCATACTGCTGAGCTGGCATTCGGTGTAACTATTTTTGCAGCATCAAATCTCGGTTGAGCAGACTACTTAAAACATAAATCACTGAGGAACTCAGAACTGCTGTTGGCACATGGTGAGGCTGATGTCATTATTCAGAGTCTTGGTGGGATTTCTGTGGAGATTCCGGGATATTGTTCCATAGTGAGTCAGTGGACAGAGAGAAGGCTCAAAGGAAAACTGTTCTGCTGTAATGCAAACCGTAAGACCCCCTTCAGCTTGAACCACTGGCTCTCATAAAAAAGGGGGAAAAAAGAAAAGAAAATCAGCTATATTGTACAACCATAAATGTGTTTTCAGTATGTCTACAGGAACTGGCAATTGGGGCCATATGTGTGAGTCAGTATCTGTGTACATTTTAGGACACAAGCATGATCTTTAAAGAATGTTTAATCATTCATTTGTATTTTATCATTTGCATCTTTGAAATGTAGCCTCTGAAGTATAATATATCAAAAGATTTACATGTGGTGTCCTTATCGTGTCAAATCAATTAGATATCCACTTTTCATTTACAGCTTTACCTTTCTATGCTGGATTACACAATACAGTTTACCACACCCATTAATTGTCCTATTGGGCCACATGAGAAACTTGGACAGTTGTTGAGGACCGCACCAATAAACTGACCTTAAGTCTGCTCAGTATTAATTTGATGTATTCATAAGCTTACTGGTGCAACCCATCACAACAGTTCCAGTTTATCATGTGGCCCAGTGGGGAAATGAATCGCCCACCCCTGCCTTACAGGATGCACTGGATCTTTACTTGGATCTGTATGGCTGTCGAAATATTCAAAACATTCACCATTAAAACCTGTCAAAGTGCTTTACTTGTTCATTTTAAAGAGAATACTTCAGTTATTAATACTACTAACCAACATCTGGTGTTTGTGATCACAAATATTTAAGGTCTTTGATTGCTGAGACTTGCCATTGCAGGCTTTTTGGATGAAGTAATGTCTTCATAGATTCACTCATTTAGAAAGTCTACAAGCAAAGACATGTTATAAATAGAATTATATTAGTTTTAACATGTTTTAGGGTCATTTTGTGGTATTGTTAAAGTAAAATTTTAATGGTATGAGTCTGTTCCTTACTTTGATGTCTTTTTTTTTGCCATTTTAGGCTGCTGTTCCTCAGAAAGCCTGTTCCACTTCTAAGAGAATTAGCTAACGTTTGCTGGTGCACATATAACAAATATCAACTCATCTGTCTTTAGCCATACTTTTGTACTTGGAATCGGATGGAGACGCTTTGCACATGCATTTATATTTCTTCTACTCAGGCCTGGTGGAGCCCCTCAGATCTTGTGCAA